TGAGAAACTGGCCACTGCTCGCAGCCTTTTTTCTCTGGGAAAATGGCCACCTCTCCTCCCCAAGCAGATCACATCATGTCTCAGTCATGTTCACTTTCATCAGTGGCGAACAGGGTGACTTGCAAGGAAAGTCGCCCCCACACAAACCCAGGAGTGGTTTTGTACACATATTTCTCAATATGTCAAGTTTAATCATTAAAATCCCTTTGTCACTTGCATATATCCTCTTCTCTGTACCCTTGCTTCTTCCTCAATATCTTGACATTGTTTACCTGGATTGTCACAAGAGCCTCTTACTGTATCTCATGACCTCAAGATGTCAACAGATTCAATTAATTCTCCACTCATCGGTCAAAGTAACTGTTGTAAATTCAAATCTGATTTTGTTATTTTCTTGGCTTTAAATTTCATGAAAACAGTGATCAATTCTGCTATATTGATGATGGTAATAATGCATATAATCCATGAGCCAGTCCACCATCTCTGCAGGAATCTTTTAAAGCTGCTTGTGTATTTTGTGAAAGTTATTTTCATAATGTTGTCTCTATAATTTTATTTAGCTGGAAAACACTGGGTCATGAAGTTTTCATACACATTACTACAAAATATATGAGTAAGGTACCATTTTGTTGTTTAAATCCAGTATCATCTCTTTCCCCTCCATTCTATGGTAGTTATTGCTTTACCAGAAATTAGCAACTTGCAGCCCCTAGGCAGAATCTGGCCCCCACACATAAATTTAAAAGTATTGAGCTATTATTTAAAAAGCATGAGATTCTAAATTAAAATGATTTCTAGGTTGTCTTGAAAACTTGGAAAAATTAAAATTCTATGTATACTTTTCCTATAAAATAATGGATGTTGAGAGCTGAGGGATCCCTGCCTCTTTTGGGCAGCCTTACTACTCCATGTGTCTCCAGTTTACCCAGGCAGCTTAATTCTTCCAGTACATAGTCAGTCCATTAAGGCATTTGGGTTCTGGGCCCCTGCTCTACTTCAGGCTATCTGGAAACATAGTACTTGCCTTATCTTCTTCCCAATATGGGATAAAGAAGATTCTAGTGGACACTGTTTCTTAACTTTGTAACAGTATCAGTGTCTACCATGGTGCCTGTCATATTGTGAATGTTCAATAAATGAGTTTTAGCTAAACAGAATGATATATACAGAAGAGGTACTGCAAAATCTTCCTAAGCTTATGGAAAGCATGCATTAGTTTCTCAACTTGATCAAATGCCTTGTCTTCCTTGTTTAATTGGTTTAGTTAACCACCTGCATCCTAATTTTTTTCTGTACCTTGTTTGGCTTTAATTGAACATTCCTAGATGGCAGAGTTCATGCATTTTAATGTGCTCGGTACCATGTTCAGTGTCAAAAATGCACAGGGAGGCATCATTGATAAATATTACCAATAAATACATGTAGAGAACATTTCTTCATTCCTTTATTTCAGTAGTGATTAAATATATAGGTAACATAATGGCATTATTAGCTACAGTGAAGTTTCCAAAATCCTAATTTGAAGCCATGTAAAATTGAAACTCAACCAAACCATATTTATTTCTGTAATTAGGGTCAATATAGAGCCAGTGGCTGGTCTATAAGGAATTCCTGTGGCTGATATAAGGAATTAATTTCCAGAAGAAGCCAATGATAACATTAATGGCTTACAGTAGGAGGGACTTGCCTGAGACTTCCAATGTTCCTTGACTAAGCTGCAAGGATGTATTCCTTATATGTGTAATCATCAGCACATCTCTGTAGCACCACTGACTTGCGTAAAACTCTCTAAATTCAGAGACAGTTCAGCAGCTTGGCCCCTAGAAAGGTATTTGGAAAGTTTCCCAGTATGCGAACACTGCATAAGCTGGAAGCAGTATAGTGATAATTAATAAAGTGCCAGACTGGGTAATTGTAGGATCTGTAAAAGATACTAAGACATTGTTACTGGAGGTACAGATGCACCTGTGAACATGTGAAGTTAATTTGTGTGAAGAATATCACATGAGCGTGAATGGGGACTAGAGAGGTGAGATTTTCATTAAATAATTCAGACTTCAGACCAGGAAGTTCTTGTGAGGTGGGGGCAGAGGTTAGAAAGAAAGAAACTCCTGCTGGTGAGATAATGAAGGATTTATGAAAGGAATTACTCCTGTATTCTTTTGTTCTCTGTGCTGTTCTGTGATCTTCAGAAAAGTTTGAGAACTGTGGCATTAGAGTTTTCTAATCCCCATAGGACAGAATGATGGCATTGCCCTCTTAGCTGATTTAAAATAGCAATGAACCACCCCTTACTGTTAACAGTAAGGTTGAGAGAGATGGCCTTGAGTTTTCAATGTGGCCCTAACTTCCTCACTGGCTAATGTCTATCAAGTTTCCATATACAATAAATAAATGAGAGAAAGAAAGAATAAGAATGAGCATACCTACCTCAGAGTGTTGTCATAAGGATTGAGGAATATTGAGAACTATGAAAATCTAAGCAATTCTTAGAGCTCATGATAGATGATACATCAATAGTAGCTCCATTGTTGTTTTTGTCATTTTTATTGTCATTGAAATGAATTTTTGAAAAAAATTAAAAATCATATGAATTATTGCCAGTGATTATTCTGCCCTTCTCCTAAAGTATCTTATACATGGCCTGTACAAGATGGATGTACAGGGTGGGGAAAAGTAGGTTTACAGTTGTTTGTATGGAAAATAATACAATAATGAATAAATAATAATAAAAAAACTGTTTTGCATACACACATCTGTAAATCTACTTTTGCCCCACCCTATATATAGGCAAAATCTCTAAATTTTAGCATTCCATACAATAATATTTTCTCTCAGATCTCTCTACTTTATTGCAAATTTGGCTCAAAAATTAAATTATGTTTTTAACCATAATTCTTTGACCTCCTAACTAGGTGACCTATTCTATTCTATTCTATTCTATTCTATTCTATTCTATTCTATTCTATTCTATTCTATTCTCTACCCAGACTTAGTGCAGACCACACAGATTAAGGACACAATTATTGTTCCCACTTCAGATATCATCTTCAAGTCTTTAGTTCCCAAGTAATCAGCATTTCTTCAGAATTTAGCTACAATTTTGGCAGTTTCCACAATCTTCCTTGAAGTTTGATTATTCACCAGAATAACTCACAGAAAGTGCTACACAGTTGATCCTTGAATAATGGGGAATTAGGGGCGCCAGCCCCTACACAGTAGAAAATTCTTGTGTAATTTCTGACTCTACAGTGGGTCCCTCACATTAGTGGATTCAACCAAGTTGGAGATCAAAAACATAAATTTTAATCCCTAGTTGGGAATCCACAGGTCATAATCTGCAGTTATGATGGCAAAAATATGTTTTTATCCTGGTTGGTTAAATCTGCAGATGTTAAACCCACGGATGTAGGGGGCAGGCTGTATTTATTTGTAAAAACCCATGTATAAGTGGACTGGCACAGTTTGGGTGGTTTTGTTTAAGGGTCAGTTTGTGTCTGTGATTACTGGTTTAAACAGGATACAAATGAAGAGCCAGAGGAAGAGGTAAATGGCGTGATTTCAGAAGGGTCCCAAGTCTCTGTCTCTGTGGAGTTGGGGTGTACCATCCTCCTTGCACATTGAGATGTTTAGAAACAAGGTAGTCTTCAAATCTTATCATTCAGAGTTTTTTAATCACTAGGTTTCATTACCTAGGCATGAATAATTAAATCTCTGGGCAGGTGATTGAACTTCATCTCCGGAACTTCCACCTACCTTGCCCTTCAAAGAGGGCTGAAAGTTCCAATTCTCTGATCAGGGATTTGGATACCCTGATGGCCAGACCCCTCCGGAAGGCATCTAGCCCTCTCCTCACACCCTGCACCCAAAGTCATTCACTAGCATAAACCTAGAATGTTCAAAGGGAATTAGTTATTAGTAACAAAAGGCACTTCTATTGTTCGGGAAATTCCAAGGGCTTTAAGAGCTCTGTGCCCAGAAGCTAGGGGAAAAAAAGGCTAATCTATTTTTTTGTTAATCCACACAAACTTTGCCAAATATATATTAGTCAGAGTTTCTTATCTTCTCCATTGTGTTTTAGGGATTTCTAAGTAAGAAAACATTGGCTTCAACCATTTCTATTCTTCAAGGAGAAAAATCTTGTGAAAACTACATGGATATAAGGTGTACAAAATTATTGTAGATGTATATCTCTGTAAAACTAGATGAAGGAGGTTGCCCAAAATTCATATATACTTTATTTTCTTTGTATTTTTATAGGCTTTTGATGAATCAATTCAATTTGCTTGCCTTTGCTTGAGAAAGAAAGTTAAATATAATCTTCATTGCAAATAAAATTATTTTTCCGCTTTCAATGTATTTCTCCCTCATTTTATTTTCAATTTTTTCTGATATCAGGTCTATCCAATGATAAGATTATAGGGTCAAAATTAATCAGGTATTGTGTTGTTTTACATATAGTTTTATGCATATAACAATTATGTATTTTCGTTTTGTGTTTTAAACTATTTCACTCTCAGAATTTACTTCAAAGAGATTCTGTCTTTAATATAGGTATCTTCTCCAAATATAAATTTACAACCTATAAAAAAAGTACAGTCATAAAATCATCACAGAGTGTCTGTTTATTTTCATTTTGATGAATATGCAAATATAAAAGCATTATGGTTACTTATAAAGTTCAATGAGTTTTTGCTTTTTATTTCTTATAATAGAAATATTAACATAGTTTTAAAGTGATAATGTAGAAAAGATATGGTAGCAATTTTTTTTCTTAATGAAAAATCTAATATTACTTAATTTATATATCTGTCTATATAGTCACACATACATGGGTGTCTGTGCATATTTATTACAATAATGAGCATGTCTATTTAACAGGGTTATGAGAATTCAGATTTAAAAAAATATCATTAATTAATATAATGTCCAAATGCACATTACTCTCTCTGTTGTCAAGCTTTTAAAGATATTTTTGTTTTGTTTTGTTTTGTTTTTAGGTAACATTCAAAGCATCAAGACATTCAGTTTCACCAGATTTGAAATATGTTCTTCTGGCATATGATGTCAAACAGGTAAAGTTATCTTCTTTGTAAACTTTTCTATGTGATAAATTCAGGTGGCAGTTAAGTTTTCCTTAGCTATCTATGCACCTAAAGAAAATTGGGCATATCAATAACCACAGGGTTCACTGATGGCCAGTGCTGTACAAGAGACATTTGTAGGCAATGTCCTTTCTTCCATACGGGGCTCGCAAATAAAGGAGGCAATCTGCCAGGTACTGGTGCCAGTGCAAGTCCACCTCTTTCAGAGGGGACTGTTTCAGGTTAGCAATCTCACTGGGGGATTCTGACATTTTCGGGATAGCTTTAGTCTGTACTTGACTACAGATTTTCTTAATGGCTGGGTCCTGAATAGCAGTGTGGATAGTGGGGAAGGGCTGGTGAGAACATTTATTTAAGTCATGCTGAGTGAGTTCTTTGGTAGTATTTAGGCATAAGCCTCATAGTTGTAGAAAATTCTGAAACTGGGACAAACCAAGAAATTCATACCAAACAAATAAAATATTCTTATTTTAATAGGGTTTCATTATTCTATGTCAGCTCTACAGCACACATACAGCAGTATGTATGGTTATTGAGTATTTTTGTACTCAGATATAATTCACACTGTTAAAAAGCAAAGTGAATGCAGAAAAGCCAGATCAGCAGATTAGTTTCTATGGAAAATGATTGAAATCATTCAGGAAAGTTTTATGTCCTTTAGGACGGACAATAAAAATTTATAGACTTAAGATAGAAAGCCTCATATAATGCATTGAAAGGTTTTGAGCACATCAAACTTCACAGTTCGAAGGACCTTCTGTTTAATGGCTTTAGTCATTCGGAATACACATGTGCTATGTTTTTAGATGAGTTGTTTATGTTTTTTATTTCACATAATTAATTTACACTGAAAAATGTCTGGGAGATTGCAATCAAAGATATTTTTTCTCTAACATACCTTGGCTTTTTATATTAACTTTTGCTGTGTTATCTCTAATGACATTTTAAAAAGTACATGTAATAGTAAGTAAACTACTTGACTTTTGTAAACAAAAATGTTATAGCATCCCCCAATTTTAAAAGTAATATTATTTATCTAAACAATTTAACTTCAAATGAGTGCTATATTAAACTGATAATAAAACTGTAAAAAATCAAGCCTCAGTAGCTACAGTAATTAAGACTAAGTTGAACTGACAGAGGGATAGATGCATAAATCAATAGAACAGAATAATGAACCCAGAAATAGTCCCATACAGATATGCCTAACTGACTTTTGACAAATGTGCAAAAGCAATTTAATGGAAGAAAAATTGTCTTTTTCAAAAAATGGTTCTGGGGAAAATTGGACTTCCACAGGCAAAACAAACAAAAATACATTGACCTAAGTCTTATGCTATATAAAAATTCAAAGTGAGTTATGGATTTAAATGTAGAAATGTAAATCTATAAAACTTTTGTAAAAAAAGCAAAAAAAATATCTTTGGGCTCTATGGCTATGAAAACAATTCTTACTATATCAAATTTATAGTACATACAAGGAAAAGATATTGTGTTATGAAAGGCCCTGTTATGAAAAATTAAAATATAAGGTATAAAGTGGGGGAGAATATTTGCATTTCAGGTATTCAAAAAAGAATAGTATCTAGAATATATCAATACTCAAATTTCAGAATTATAAAAAACCCTCATAAAATCAGAAAATGGACAGGCATGAGACATGTTCTTGAAAAGGACATACGGATGGCAAATAAGAACATAAAATCATTAACCATTAAATAAATGCTATTTATAACAACAAGCAATGTTACTACACTTATATCAGAGTGCTAAAATGAGAAAAAAATGACTAGACCAAATGAGGGCAAGTATGCAGGGAAACTGGATCACTCATACATTGCTGTAGGGAATGTGTAATAGAAAGCAACTCTGGAATATAACCTATAAAATTAGGCTAACTTTGGATATTTGAACTAAATATGCCAGATTATTTGAGAATATACTTAATATCAGAATGTAAATTAACACCATTAACACATTAAGAAAATTTGTTATTATCTCTTGATACTGTCTCTCTCTTAATCTCTCAAACTCTGTCTTTGGTTTATCTTCAGGAAAAATAGTTTATGATACATTGATCCTGGATTATTTCAATAAGAAAAAATGATCAAACTAAATATCACAATCTTATATTACTTTATTTATTACTCATTTTATTTATTCATCATGTCAAGTATAAACTACTGGAATAGACATTATTCAAGTCTGTGTGTATGTATGTGGTGTGTGCTGACTGAATCATCTCCTAAGAAACATATAATTTGGTAGAAGTAATATGACCAAGCATATCCATCACATACAATGAGATAATCTTGTTGGATAAAGAAGCGTATGCTGGACTTTGAAGATCAAATAAATGCAGATGTATGAAAACCATTCCAGATGGGCAGACAGCATGGTACTTCATGGAAGCAGCGCTAAGGCTCTGAAGGATAGCAGTCAATTCAAACTTGCCCACAGGTTGACAACTTGGAGAGGAAAGAAACAAACCTATAAATCTTGTTAAATCCAAATAATAGAAGAACTTGAATCTCATTCTATCCTATATAGTTTATACTGAGATAGCAAATTGGGGTTATTGATGACTTTAGAGTAATTAAATATCATGTTTACCATGTGGGAGGGTATGAGTGTGTGTATCTGCACGCACATGTGTGTTATGTCCATTAACAAACTTGGAAAAAACAACAATTACACAAAATCCAACCGCTCAAATACATCCTCTGAAATTATTTTGTTTTATTTCTCTTTTCCCCCTCTCTACATAACACAAAAGTAGGGAAAGAGGAGTTATCAGGGACATGTTAAGCATTATTTTAAGTAGATGCTGTAATCCTGGTTTCAGCAAGAGAAAAGTCGATATCCTTGAAAAACTGGGAAATGCAGGATTATACAGATTTAGATATTTAACTAAGGGCTTTCCAGTAGGAAAAAATAGCTGCACCCTAGCAAATTGGCTGTGTACAATGATTTGTCTTTAGCTTTATTACAAGGCAAATGAGCTAAACTAGAAAAACTCAAATAAGGGTTTGGATTCCAACGTGCAGATAGTCTATTGGTGTTCCTAGTGCTTAAACCTGGCTGCCTCTGCTAAAGTACCTTAGTGGTGGAAGGAAGTATCTCTGATAATCCAATCCTTTTATACCCAGGCTCCTTCTCACAGTTGAGGTACTTGTTTGAACTTTGTAGGCATTTCAGATAGTGACTTCTTACACAGAAACAGACTGGAAAGCAAAGTAAACAGAAACCTGTAGGTAGATGCTCCTGAAATATTGGAAAAAGGAACAAAAAATCAGATCATCTTTAACATTTACCTCTTTAAAATAGATACTAAATTTTCATGATCAACGGTCAAATAAATATTAAAAAAACAAATAAGTTTCATCTCATCTATCTACATTGTTGAGTTTATCCAACTGTTTTTTAAGACATAACAAATATTTGGAAGAATTATCTTTCAAATTAACAGTATATTATTTGATCAAGGAGAGAGAACCCACTGCTTTTCTCTATGGCTTGTGGCCATCAATATGAACACTGATTAATCTTTAATAACTCAGTGGGAGTTTTCCCGCCCGGGCTCTCACATCTGACTGTTGTCTAAAGGATGGAGGAGGGGTGAGTGAACGATCCCAGAGAGAAAGACAAATACTCTATGCTGTCACTTACATGTGTATTTTAAATGTCAAGCTTGTAAAAACAGAGAATTAAATGGTGGTTTACTGGGGTATGGCTGGTGGGGGAGTGGGACAGATATTTTCTTAGTGTTCAAACCTATATCAAGTACTAAAGAAGCCCTAGAGAAATAATGTGTAATACAGTGAATTTAGATAATGATATTATATTACTCTTATCAAACTTGCTAAGAGGCTAGAACTTAATTGTGCCAATTACTTAAGAGAAAGGATAATTATGTAGCAGCATAGAGGTGCTAATTATCCTTATAATGTCAATCACAATACAATGTATAAATGTATCACATTAACAAGTTGTACATCTTAAATTTACACAATGTTATGTGTCAAATATATTTCAATTATTTAAGAAACAGAATTCTGGGTATGAAGGGATAAAGTGCTTACACTATCTCTTGTTTGAGAGAATGTGGTAGCTTGCTTGCAGGTTTTCCTTCAATGGCTTTTGTGTCTTTTAAGCAGTTTTAAAAGATAAACTTATCTTCATTTTAAAAAATACTCAGATTGGCATTCTCTGCCTAAATCTTCTTGAGGGTTTCTGACATAAAGACTAAAAGTCGTAACACAACCTACAAGGCCCTGCCTGTCCTTGAAGCCTCCTCTCTCAGGACCCCCAGCTGCTTTCAGCAGTTCTGGGATTTCTGACAGTTTCTTCAAACACCGTGCTTCCTCCCCCCATGGAGCTTTCACTGCTCTTCGGCCTGGAGCTAAATCTTGCCTCATCTTCTTTCCTTCATATTGATAACTTGTTCTTATTCTTTACACGCCAACTCAAATCACACTTTTTCTCAAACACCAGAGCTGTTCTAGACTTCTCTGACTCTGTCAAATTCTGTCCTAAGGTTCATGGTACTCTCCAACCCTTTTGTAACACTTATCACACTGTAATTATGTTTGCAACAGTGCCTGGCAGTGTTGCTGAGAAAACAACCAAAGCACCTTAATATTTGAACTAATAAACCAGCACTTCTAGTGAGCTTTATTTAAACTGCCAGATGAAAGTAAGTGGCCCTACTTTGTGCTTCTGGGAATCTGGTTTGTATTTCCTTTTTTTAAAAAAAATATTTACTTTTTAGAGAGAAGGGAAGGGAGGTAGAGAAATATCAACTGGTTGCCTCTTACATGCCCCCAACTGGGGAACCTGGCTCACAACCCAGGCAAGTGAATTAACTGGGAATCAAACCAGTGATCTTTTGGTTCACAGGCCAGTGCTCAATCCAGTGAGCCACACCAGCCAGGGCATGTTTTTTTAAAATATGTTTTATTAATTATTCT